CTATAAAAAAGCATTTCAAAAACATACTATAGAAGTCTAATACGTGCTTTGGCTGATTGCACCTACTCAAAATCTTTAAAGAATACTGAATTGAAAGTTTAACTTCTCTATTTTGTCTGGTCCACGAGGACATAAGAAGACAACACGTTCTCATGGAGTCTACTGAAAGGAGACGGGGTGGAGGGCGTAAAGGGAAAGAGCACGGAGGCGCGGACGGTCTCCAGCCCACCTCCACAGCACAGCAGCCCCGCAACAAAAGCCCAGGGCCGTGCAGACCCCTGTGTTGTCTGCAGGAAGCACCACGTGCTGGAGACGCTGCTGGTGCAGCCACAGAAAGGTCTTCACACTTGTGCCCCTACATCAATGACAAGGTCAGTGTGAGATGCTGTGATCGACGCTCGGCATCTACATTTTTATTAATTCTGACAGTAAATGAAAAGGATACGAGCAGTTTACGTAAAATGAATAGAGAAGACATTCTTAAGACTGCCTGATTAGAAATTCACCGTGTGCTCTGCACACAGTCATTCACAGTAACCCAGGAGACGCAGAACTTGGTTTTCTGAGGTTCTGCCCTCTACCTGTGCAGGCACTGCATTGGGTTTCCAATGAAAGAGCAGGGTCTCTAACACTGAAAAACCGAGGCAGGCTTCTCCCCGCGACACTCTCTGCCTGAGAGGACAGGGCACCTGCTGTCAATACACAACAGACACCACAATGAGACATCCTTTTCTTCGTGCTTGGAATGGTGCTGACACCCATGACGTGCTATAAAAACTCCTTTAATTCCTTATGTTCTACATATTAAATTCTGCCCGTCAAATGAAATGCAAATAAAAAAAGTAGCCTCTACTTGGTTACACGCCCACTGAACTGATCTGAGAGTAACAGTGGAAACTGAATTCGGGCACCTGAGGCGGCAAAACGAAACACGGCCTGGTAACCTCAGTGCAGGTAACAAGGGCCCGAGGCCGCGGCTCTCCAGGGGCCCCGACTGGGGAAGAGGCAGGGGAGTCTGAGTGTGAAGCTGCCCGCACAGGGCTGCTGCGATGGGACAGGAGGGGGTGACAAGTCCGGAGCATCACCAGAAATCCTGGCAACCACGTTCCAAAAAGGATGCAGTCGAACTGCACGATAATCTCGATGGTGAATTAACTAGAATTCACAGGAAGTGAATCAAAGCCCTGGGGATGTCTGACTGAAAAGAAGGGAGCCTTGGGAGAATGGTTCTCCGACTCTGTGTCACAGGACTCCCTTCCACTCTGAATAACCACCGGGTACAGGCCCAGTGTGCAGCACACAGATGACGCATCACAGCGCTCACTGCGCCCTTGAGACCTGCAGTCTTATCAACCAGTGCCGCCCCAACAAGTTTAATTAAAAATGCATGAAAAATAAAAATTATGGGGACAAAGAGGTTTTGTGTATGAGATATATTTGCAGACACCTGCCATGCAAGAAATTAAAAATAGAGAAAAACTTGAATTTATACTGAGTTTAAAATAGTAAACCAATTCTATTTTAACATTATTAGGAAAAGTAACTATTTTCACAAGCCAAAGCGTTCGGTGAGAAGAGTGCCACTAACACGCGTTTCTGAGAATCTCTGACGTCTGGCTCAACGGCAGCCGGCTCAGTTCTCCCCACTGTTCCCGCATCCAAACCGCCCCGCTGCGCTGCGCTGGCTGTGGTGTGTGACAAAAACCCGGCTCACACAGACACCCAGCTAGGAAACGGGGGGGCAGTTTCACCCCTGCATGATCTCCCAGTCACAGTGCACGCACGGCTCTCTCTTGCACAGTGAATGAAAGTCTTCCCCACACATGGCTTTATGACACCGTACACTGGCCACTCGGACAACACCAGCTCACGAGAGGCGCACAGACCTTCCCAATCTAATGTGCTCCCCAACACGCCGTGCCAACCCGCATTCAGGTACAGCACCTCCATCACCGCCACGCAATCTGAACTAGGCAGTCGTTAAGCTCAATCCGGTCAGTGGCAGACTCAAGTTCTAAAAATTACCCTTTCCTACCTAGAAGCTTAGAGTTCATCATGAGTAACAACTCCTTACAGTAACACGTTTACTTCCTAGAAAGTGTCTGCCATGCACCAAAGCCTGAGCAGCCACAGTGTGCCTGTCCCCGTCACTGGTTCCTCAACGGAAAAGGCCTCCTCGAGGAGGTGGTGGGGCCCACCCACAGGGCCGGTGGCGGCAGCACCCAGGCGCCGCCTCTCCCACAATCCTGTGGGGGGGGGGAGGCGCTGAAGGGTGGCGGGGGCAGTGCTTTAGGCACGTTTCTGTTTTACACGTGGGGAATGAATGGATGGTGTGCAGGGTGAGGGGTTGTGAATATTGATTTCTGCCAGCTTTAATAAAGTCTTTGCGTGACTGGGGGAACAGTTGGACCGTGTAAGCCTTCCACAAGGACCCTGGGCCCCCGCCAGACTGCTCTTCGAAAACCACTGTCTTGGGAAACACAAGTCTCCCTCACGCTTCTAACCCTCACCCTGCAGAAAACTCGGCTTTAATCTAGGTTGTTACTTGCTGGACCCCCGACATAAGGTGTCTTGTGAATAAAAGGTTAAACAATTTTTTAAATGAAAATTACAGTCATAATATCACCAGGTGACATGTAAAGTTATCCTCTGGTTTTAATTCCAAGGATCTGAAATAAACGCTAAAACTAATCCCCAGCTAACTTTAGTCCACTTGCTTAAGACCTGGACTTTAGAGTCATCACTTGTATTAATTTTAAAAATACATTATATAAGATATCCAACAGAGCCCTGGCTGGTGTGGCTCAGTGGACTGAGTGTGGGCCCGAGAACCAAAGGATGGTGGTTCGATTCCCAGCCAGGGCACAGGCCTGGGTTGCAGGCCAGTCCCCAGTAGGGGATGCACGAGAGGCAACCATACATTGGTATTTCTCTCCCTCTCTCCTTCCCTTCCCCTGTAAAGATAAATAAATAAAATCTTTAAAAAGAAAGATATCCAATAGAAATCATGACAATGGCTAACTCCCTTACCACATAATTAAGACTCTAAATGCCATTCAGTTTCAGGTACAAATATAACAGTAATCTAGTGTTGAGTGGTTAATAAAAATAGTATCCTGAGTTAATATAACAGTGACATTAAAATGTTGTTTCTACATCTTTTAAACTACTCGTAAGAACTTGCTTCACGTTTTGAAATACTTCCATCGTGAATACCGATACATACACACCTATAGGATCGTTTCTGTTCGAAATGCACGTGAAATCGCCCCAGCGGCTCAGCACTGTCCAAAGACTCTGCAGAGCCAGGCCCGGTCACCGCCGAGCCCTCCCGGGACCATGCAGAGGAACAAGGAGCCCTGGAGCCCCCTCAGCAGCACGCCACCGACACGAATATTTAATACTTTTGTTTTAATGTAAACCTAATTGAAGAGCTATGGGATTCAGTTACATTAAGTACTACTTCAGTAACTATGAATAATCATAGGCAAGACTTCTGCTGAATTTAGCTGCAACACGACACCTCCATTTTGACCAGCACGCAGTTCAAGGAAGACACTAACACAGCTGGAGAACGTGGGTGCAGGGCGACCGAGCTCATCGAGAGTGCGCGGTTGCCTCTGTGCAGCCACTGGAAGCACCAATGTGGAGCAGCGTGCACACCTCTGTTGTGCTTCACAGCACTCTGCTTAGAGCAGCAGACCGCTATGTGACCCACGCACGCTCCAAACCAGAGAGGACAGGACCTGGGAGCATTACTAAGCAGCTCTACAAAATCTGAAAATGTTAGGGACAGCAAACTCTGTAACACCAGAACGAGACGGTAATCTCTTGGGGCTTAAAGGAGATGGGCACTGGAAAAATGAAAAGAGCATCCTCATCAATTGCTGAACACATGGCCTGTGTGAATCTCCCCCCACAAACGCACCCCCCTCCATTCTTTTCTACCTGAGGAAATAAGTGACATTGGATGGACACGTGGAGAATGAGTAGGTGGGACTGAAGGAGACGCTGGGACTGGTAACAGGCAGCTGGGCAGGACGCCAGGCTCTGAGTGCCCGGAAGCGGCGGAACAGCGGCAGTCGCACTCATGGAGCAGCTGGACACAGTGGTGCCCGGGAGACCTCGGAGGCCTCGCCGGGACAGGGAGAAGCACCAAAGGAGTTTTCACAAGGGGATGACAAAACCAGCATTTTCATAAGACTGTTTTGGTTATTCTTTGGTTTTAAAGTTAAAACCAACTGGCATTGAGTAAAAGATGTGAGATTTCCTTATTTGTTTACTTATCTATTCGTTTTCCCATTTGAACCTTTAAGTGTGGCATACTATTTGAATTCTGATCACAGGCTCAACACTGAGTAATAAAAAGATATACAACAATTAGGAAGAGAGTATACTTGATAAAAATGGAAGTACGACTACCCATTTTCACTGGCAGTCTCAGAACATCTATAAAATGCATGTTACTGTACAATGTAAGTATAAATAACAGTTGCATCCGAAGTCACCCCACACCTTGAGAAGTTCTGTACGTCTGGTTGCCAAAATCCCACCTGCTGGGTAACAGCACAACGCTCCTCATTCGGAGCCCACTGCGACTCTCACGTGCACACACACATTCACAGCTGCACCAACAACCCACAAGAAAAGCCCAACACACCTAGTTTCAGACAGCAATGGTACCTCACAACTTAAATAGGAGTGTAACTGAGAAAGTAAGGAACAATACATGCATCACAAAAATTAAAACGTTCTAGTTGCTACTCATAAACACCACAAAGGAAAGCCTTTTGTAATTTTAATTGATCAATATTTGCATGACTTAGTATTCGTTTATAATGCCTAACACAAATTATCTTTTTGAGACGAATATTTCTTAAAATAAATTTAAAAAAATTTCGTATCACTTCAGAAAGCCAAATTCAAATCACTCTGAAAATCTACTGTATAAAAACACCCTGAAAGCAGAATCCGAGCAGTGCATTTAAGAAAATCCTTACCAACTTTTCGTCGACTGTGATGAGCTGCGCCTCCCGAGTTCGGTCCGGCACCAGCCTCCATGTGGAAGTGCTCAAGGACCTGCAGGGCGAGATTTTCGATTTAAAAACTATCCGTGCACTGAGAAAAGAGGCAAACTTTGCAGAGACGAGCCGCTCTGACACTGTCTGTCTTACAAAACAGAAAGAACAGACAGAAAGAGAGGAGGGCACACAAGTCCTTTCCCTCCCCAGTGGGTTCCGCCCAAGACTTGGGTCAGACTCCCCGGACAGCGGCGCGCTGTGTGCGTGGTCCACCAGCCTCCAGGAGCTCAGCACAGGCAGGGCGCCCGCCAGCACCCAGGGCTGTGCGGCTGTGCCCCCAGGAGTGTGCGGTCGGCTCGCATGCCCCGGAAGAAAGATGCACAGCTCTGGCAACTCTTCTGGAACTCAGATTCCTCAACGATGGCATCACAATGCAAAAGAAAAGTCTCAATCGTCTTCTCAACAGCATAAAGTAAAAGTTGCAGAGCTTAATGTTAACAAAAAAGTTTCTTCACGCTAATTTCAAACAAAAGTAGTTCAAATAGGAATAATCTGTATGCTTGTTTCTAATTAATGTTACTAGGTTAGTCCTGAATCCCACTCACGGAAGTGAAGAAATTCATACTAGTTAAAATAGAACACTGTCAGAAATAAAAGCAGCACAGGGTCTGGCTCCTTCACATCAGCATCTTCCTGTGGTGATTTCTTTCACCCTAAGAAAGTACTTAAAGCTAACAGACTTTTCATTTCATCATGTATACAGTACACTCTGTACTAATGGATCTCATAGCCATCACTGTGACGATTTACATTTTAGAGTTTTCCAAAACATGAAGCAATCCTATGTACATTTCTCTTTAAAGTTAGTATATACAATTATGATGCAAATTCCCAAGCTGACCGAAGATAGTATTCAACTCTGCCATATCACCACCATTACTACTTTGATGCAAGATAATCACCAACAGCTAATACAGAATTTCAGGTCAAAGGCTCAACTTTCAATAGCTATGATGTACAGCAGTCCGCTCCTAATGCACAGTTTTCCTTTCTGTGGTTTCAGTTATCAGCCATCAACAGCACTCAAAAAATAAATAGAAAATTCCAGAAATAAACACTTCCTAAGTTTTAAAGCACACACCACTCTGAGGAGCATGGGGAGACGCAGCCACCATCCAGCCTGCGATGGGGATGCTCCTGTCCCTCTGCACATCCACCTCTCTCCGCCTCACCACTCGGGTGCAGTGCCACCCCATGCCCCCGGGAGGAGGGGGCGCGTGCAGAACAGTGTGACAGTTTGAGAAAGAGAACGAGACAGAGAGAGAGAGAGAGAGAGAGAGAGAGAGAGAGAGAGAGAGACCACACTCCTGAGGCTGTTATTACGGTGGAGAGCAATCATGGTTCTATTTGACTGCTATTATTGTTCATTTCTTACTTTGCCTAATTTATAAATCAGACTTCATCACAGACCTCATCATCTTTGTATTAAGAGCAAAAACCAGGGGAGTCTCAGGATGTCCCCTCCGTGGATAGGAGGGGGACTACTGTACGTGGCTTTACAGGAAATCTAGGTACTAATAACACAACTTAAAGGTAACCCATAAGACAAAAGGGTTGCCTCATAAACACATATTTTTAAAAATCTGTCATTTATTTCCCAAAATTAATGTAATTCTTTATCACTGCAAATACACCGCTCTTAGGTTCTACCTACACAAAATACACCCACACTTTAAATTATTTATACAGACAGTTAAGATACATGTTCTGGTTGTTATAATATTTAAAAAGTAAAATTAGCACTTATTTACTAATGATTACAGACTAGACATCCCTATATGTACACATAACTTTCTAGTATCACGATGTACTGCCCCATAAAATGACTGATAATATTTTGGCCATGTTTGCTCTTGGCTATTGTGAACGACGCTGCAGTAGAATCGGTGAGCAGACGCCTGTACAAACCCTTTGTCCAGGTTCCCATTTTTGAGCTCAGAAACTCGATCTGCCTCCTGAGCTTACCTTCCTGTCCACTCATGTTTTGTTAGCTGGCCTGTTCACACTTCAGGTCTCGGTGTCCACATTAATTCTAGGCCCATAGCATAAACTCTAAGGGCTATGATAGGTATTATCCATTATCATTATTACAGTCTACGAGCCATTTATTACATTTACTTTTCCTGTAAAGTTTCCTGTAAGAAAATGAGACATCCTGGAAATGGATATCAAGAAATCTTGTTTCTGACTCTGGTTTGACTCCTCACTAGTTGTGTCTATGAGCCACTCACTTAACCTCTCTGCATCTCAATTTCACCCTGTAAATTTGTAAAATGAGAACTTGTTGCTCTAAAATTTCATCTAGTGATGAGTCTGTAATTCCAATAAGTGGAAATGAGTATAGCTCTAGTTTAATAACCCCAATGGAAATGCTACGTGATAATTTCTCAACTTATCATCTCTTTTTCTTTAAAAATCTAAGGAGTTAAAACTTCCAAAAACATATATCCCACATTTGTTCATCCATTCATCTGCTAGACATTCATGTGCAGGTTTCTGTGAGGACGTTTGCAACTCATTTGGGTAAATCCCTAAACACAATTACCAGACTGTATGTTCTAATGAACAAAATGAACTAACAAGCAAAATAGAGACAGACTCAAAGAGAGCAGGCTGTCAGCTGGCCCAGGCAGGGGGAAGGGCTGGGGGTTGGGGGTTGGGGGCTGAGGGGAGGGAGGGATTGAGCCAAAAAAAGAAAGACCAAACTCATGGACAGGGACAACGGTGTGCTGACTGCTGGTAGAGCGGGGGGGGGGGGCAGGTACATGGCAATGGCAGGAGACTTGACTTGGGTGGTGAACACACTATACAGTATACAGACGAGGTGCTGTGGAACTGTGTACCTGAAACCTGTATAGTTTTGTTAATCAGTGTCACCCCAATAAATTCAATGGAAAGGGAAAAAGGGACTTTGTTTAGCTTTGTGTGAAACTGCCGAACTGTCTTCGAAAGTGGCTGTGCCATCTTGCATTTCCACCGGCCTGGAGGAGACTCACTGTTCACTTCATTCTTGCCAAGGTGGTCACTGTTAATATTGAATATTGTGGGTCTTTCGACTTTCTCTATAAACTTAAGATAATTGTCTTCATATCCACAAAGTGCCTTGCTGAGGTTCTGATGGGACTGTGCTGATCTACAGCTCAGGTCAGGAAGAGGTAACACTCTAACAGCACTGAGCCTTCCTGTCCGTGTGCATTCATCAGGGTCTGCATTTCTTTCATCGGTCTTCTAGTTTTACTCATATACATCTTGCAAATACTGCCTTCAATACCTCAAAAACACTTTCCGAAAAGGCTTAACGGTGAAAAAATAAAAGAAGCCATTTGTACTGGAAATCAGTACCTGCATAAAAATAATATTACTGTCTCAAAGTTTCAGTATCATTCTCCCTCTGAAGCAAATCATCCCTATCAACTAAGAATGGCAAAACCCCCATATCATCACAGCAATTTGAAAACATGGCTTCGAAGTTTTTGACACAGTTCCCTCCCATCAAGAGCATTGAGGTCCCTCTTTGTAACCCTAAAATCTGAGCTCTGTGACTGCTGATCAATAACAAAAGCGAGGCAAAGCATTTTTCCAGGCTCAGGCCCTAACAAACTGGCAACTTCCACCTCCTCTTAGAGCACTATTTCCTGGGATGTTTGCTCTCGGGGTCAGCCAAAGTGCCCCCAGAGAGACCCCCTTGAAGAGGAATCAGTAGCCAGTCCTACTATGCCAGACAGGTGAGGGGCTGTTAGACCTGGAACACTAGCTCCGCCCCCACCCCTCCCTGGGGCCACCCCAGCAGACACCACCCAGAGCGCTGGTTTGTGAGCAAAATAAATGACTGCTGTTTTAAGCCCCTGAGTAGCGGCGTACTTTGTGTCTAACTACAGACAGCAAAAACATTCCTATAAACAACTGAACGTGGCTTTATAAACATTAAAATTGAGCCATTTACTTCAAAGGACCAGAAATGTTTTGCTGGACTTCTAACAAAGTAGAGTTACTAATTCTATGGAACTTATTAAGGAATCAATTAATTCTCAGCTTTTTAGTTAAAGCCAATTAGGTTTGTTGTCAATTTATTGCAAACTGAATTAACTCAAACTCACATTAAATCAGAAAACGTTCAGTCCCATCCTAAACCATAAGACAGTGTTGTTACTGGGTTCTAACTGAAGCAATAAAATATACATAGCCTCTATGTCACAACAATTGTCTGTCTTCAAATATGTTGACATTTGAGTCAATCACCTTCAAATTCATCTTAAAGCTTTTCAATATCTTAAAACAACAAAGAAAATTTAACTTGTCTTCAAAACACCGTGCTCACCAGGAAGAGGTGCAGAAGCACCGAGTGTTAATGGGACGAATGAAGGTGAGGGGTCAAGGGTCTACTTTCACATTCTGGAAATTATGTGAAGTTAAAAGGCAAAGGTCCAACAAATGCTTTGGTTAAGTTCAGTGGAAATTAATGTGAAGCTATTTTACAGTGTACTCACAAATAAATTCTTCAATTCTGACTCAGATTTACACAGACGCCGCCCTGTCCCCACTCTTCAGGGCCCGGTGGGGCCCACGGTGGCCGAGGGGAACTGCTCCCGGACACAGCTCCAGGCAAAGCCTTACACTGACCCTCTGAGTGCCGTCCACCCGGCGAAGGACAGCCTCGTGCAGAGGGTGAGGGCGATCGGGCTCACACCCCAGACTCGGACATGACACTGAAGGGGTAAGAAGGACATGGCCAGGTTGCCAAGTGTGATCACAAAGAAACTGGAGGGCGTGATGGAAAATGTCAAGCAAAGGAGAAAAAAACACAGCCATGTTTACAGCACCAGGTTATCAAAGTAAGCAAAAATAAGGTGAAAATAAGGAGAATGAGAAATATAGATGTCCTGGTGATGACAGTAATCACAAAACATAAGTATATGCAAAGTTCACATTTACGAAGGTTAAATTATTGAGCTATTCTGGCCACTAAAGAATAATTCCAGTGGTTTAGAATGGGACTGA